GATGAATGTTATATTGATTTATCGGTCTCCCAAACCACATGTTTCATTTAACTCAGATGCATGACCTCCTGACTTTTTTCTGCGCCTCTCCTGTGAAAAATATTATTCTTGGAGATTTAAATATACACATTGATAATTCCTTTTCCCCTATGGCAGCAGATTTTAAGTCTCTTTTGGACTCTCAATCTCACTCAGTATGTTGACGCCCCTACGCACAACAGGGGGCACACTCTGCATTTGGTGATTACAGACACTGTACCTATCAATAACTTATCTATATATGACCTGGGTGTTTCAGACCACAGTAACTATGTTTACATGCGCAGAATTCTTTGACCGGATTGAAATGTGTTCTGTTTGAATAATTCAAATGTATTGTTTACATGGACACAATCTGTTCATGACGAGCGTTTACATGCAGCAGGCTTTGTTCTGAACAGCAGTACTGACATGCACAGAGTGGTAAACTCTCCTAAAAAAAAAACACCGAAGAAGAAGTTCTACTTCCGGGTGAACGTAAACAAACCTGAGCACCCAAAATGGACCCACGACAGGATTTAATGATGTTGGAGACGTTACTGCACTCCCTGACTGAGCTACAGGTAATACAGATCATTTTGAGCTCTTTCAAAGTTTCTAGTAGAAATGTTGTGTCGCTCACCGACCAGTTTTGCTTCCCTGACATGTTAATATTATTAGCATTAGCCAGGCGGAAATGGCAAAGTCGCACATGCGCAGTCAGGTCAGTTTTTCACGATCAGATAAAAACAAACAGATCAAGCGTTTACATGCGCACCGATCAGGTTACGGATCGGCGTAAACCACCCGTTTCGTTCTGATCACAAATTATATCGGATCGCACCGAATACAAAAAAATAACCCGAACGGAGTGTTTACATGACACACTTTTATTCCGACCGGCCATTTGATCCGGTTACTTATGTCCATGTAAACATAATCAGTGTCATCTCCCTGGAAGTGCCTTCAACTTTGTCTACTCCAAATCCTAAACGACTTATCCAGTTCCGTGATTTTAAAAACATTTCCCCTGAGGTTCTGTCCTCTGATCTCCACTCCCTGACCGCTGTCAATCATTCATCTGCAAATTACTCTGTGGATTACTACAAACAATCTCTCCAGGAGCTTCTGGACCTCCACGCTCCCTTTAAAGCAAGGCTGGTGTCTTTCTCCCGTTCAGCCCCTTGGTACACTGCTGAGCTGTGCAAAATGAAAGCAGCTGGCCGTGCTATTGAGAGACGTGTAAAATCATCTGGTCTCTCTGTACATCAGCAGGCATATAAAGAACATCAGAAAGCCTACGCCTTTTCTCTTAAAGAAGCACGGTCCAAATATTATTCCAACATCATCAACAACTGCCCTGGAAACTCTAAACAACTCTTCTCCGCAATAAATCATCTCCTTAATCCCATTAAACAGTCTCATGAGGACTCTGTTCAAAAATGCAACCTGTTCCTTTAATTTTTTAAAAACAAAGTTAACTCCATTAGATCTCAGCTCCATAGCCTCCCTGATCTTCGTCTGCCATCTACCCGTCTGCATTCTGGGTCCCTGAGCTGCTTTGATGAGGTTGTTCAGAGTGAAGTGGAGACCATCATCAAGAAAATGAAGCCTTCATCCTGCGCCCTGGATCCTTTCCCCTCATCTCTCATTAAATCCAATCACTCTGCAATAAGCCCATTAATCACACAAATAATAAATAAGTCACTACAATCTGGTCATGTTCCACTGCCTCTTAAAACTGCCATCATTAGGCCTCTTCTGAAAAAAATCTAATTTGGATCCAGACATTCTTTCTAATTACCGCCCAATTTCCCACCTCCCATTTCTGTCAAAAGTGCTGGAAAAAGCAGTTGCTGCTCAGCTGCAGATCCACCTACAACAACACTCCCTGTATGAGAAGTTTCAGTCTGGCTTCCGTGCAGCTCACAGTGCTGAGACCGCACTGCTGAGAGTCACCAATGATGTCCTCATGGCTGCTGACACTGGTTCTCCCTTCCTCCTTGTTCTCCTTGACCTCACTGCAGCTTTCGACACTGTGGACCATAGTATCCTCCTCCACCGTCTTCATGTGGAGGTCGGTCTCTGTGACACTGCCCTGGACTGGTTTAAATCTTTCCTCTCCAATAGGCTGGAATGTGTTAGTCTTGGCAATGCCAAGTCCCAGACTGTCTGTGTCTCCTGTGGTGTCCCTCAAGGGTCAGTTCTAGGGCCCCTGCTATTTTCCTTTTACATGCTGCCTTTAGGTCAAACTATTAATCAACAAAATTGTGTACACAGGGTCCAAGTTGCATCCAACAAAAGTATTAAAATGTAAAAGAAAAACATTAATAAGATCTAATATATGAACGAAGAAAAACGTTAATAAATATACACTAAGCACTAATTGTATAGAAACAATATGTCCAATAGCAGCATGAACATGAGTCTGTGTGAGCAGATGAGCACGAATGAACACAGCAACATGAAACAGATCAGCAGCAACATTGAACCCAATCAGTAGCAACATTGAAACAGATCAGCAGCAACATGATGTGATTTTTCAGTGATTAATCTGGTTAGAGATTCATGAGTCTAACAGCCTCAGGGTAGAAGCTGTTCCTCAGTCTAGTGGTTCTACACTTAATGCTCCTCAAACTCCTTCCTGAGGGGAGCGCGGCAAAAAGTGTGTGTGCTGGGTGAGTGAGGTCCTTCATGATGCAGGTGGTCCTCTTCCTGCATCTGGAGGTGTAGATGTCTGTGATGGTGGGGAGGCTGATTCCGACATCTTCTGTGCAGCCTTCACCACTCTCTGCAAAGCTTTTCTTTCTGCAGCTGTGCAGCCTCCATGCCACACGTTGATGCTGGAGTACAGGATGCTCTCCACTGCACACCTGTAGAAGGAGGTGAGGACTGAGCTTCCAGACCAGCTCGTCTCAGCCGCCTGAGGAAGTGGTCTCTGATGAGCTTGATCAAGCTAGTGGTGTTGTTGCTCCAGCTGAGGTCGTAATTCAGGTGCACACCCAAGTACTTGTAGCTGAAGACCACTTCCACCGCAGATCCTCCTATGTTCAGGGGTGGGGGTGGGGGGTTCCTTTTGAAGTCCACAACCATCTCGTTCGTCTTCTTCACATTGATGTGAAGGTTGTTCTTGCACCAGCTCTCCAGGTGTTCCACCTCCTGCCTGTAGCTGGACTCATTGTTTTTGACTTTGTTTGGTTCCAACCTCATTAATCTTGTGTTGTTTGGTTTGTTTCCAGGCAGATGACCAAATTGAATACAGCGTGCCGTGACCATATCCAAACATGTACAGCTTAGATTGTCCACCAATATTTGACTTGTCTGATGTGTCTTCATATAGAATGAGATTACAAGCCCAAATGTGTAGCAGCAATAAAGAAAATTTAAAAATATGAGGAGTTGGCGTGGTGCCCAACAAACCATTCCAACCCTCGGCAGCCATCTTGAACTTCATTCAAGCTGTTTTCTTCTAAGCTCCCCAAATTTGTTGATTTTGTTTTTATTAATTGCTGATTTTAATTGTTTTTGTAAGGTGACCTTGGGTTTTTGAAAGGCGCCCTGAGGAGCATTAGGGAACTGTTTAAGCAGCTGACCTGATGGACGAGCACATTTTTACAAGCTTTTTCTGTTAGTTTCAATCTTTAGTTAGCTTTTGATTTTAGCTAGCTACATAGATACCCATAAAATAAAACTACACACTAATATCTTAAAGTTAGCGTTACACGGATTCTAGTATAATTCACCGCGATGTACTTGTTAAGCTGCAGTAACGTTAACAAACATAAACTTACCAGCTGAAAACACAGACACAGCTCCGTCCTTGGAGTTTCTTGATGAAGAGGAGTCCGGTCGTGGAGATAATGAATCAGGCTGTTCATGCTCTCTAACACTCAGGCTGACTTTAACGCTGAGAGGAGGGGGAGGCTGCGGTCCTCCTCTGTCCTTGCAGAAAAACACGGAGCAACTTTCTGCTCATAAATTGAAGCCGTTTGACAACACACGCGCTGCACACGTGAACCCCGTCTGTGGGCAGCACCAGACATACATTATACATAGGTTCGGTACGGCAGCTCTATACAGCTCTGGTTGTAAACACGTAATCCGTTTGTCATATGTCTGGTGTTTCACCTGCCTGCGTGCTGAAACCACGTGACACATTACAAGCAATACTGAAACTTGACACCGAAAGAAGAGTGACATTTCAATCCATACACCGACCGGTGCAGTTCGGTCAGTGCCATTAAATAACCTTAGTTCGGTACTCAGCCCTATACAACAAAAGGAGTTTCATTTGACCGTAATTTTTAATTTCCTTTATAAATAACATCTGAGCTGACGTAATGTTTAAAGTGCACTTCATATTTCACTTAAATAAATTATGTATCTGATTCTTTGTTTTACAAACGCAGAGTATGTCATAGTGTGTGTCTTATCTCACTCAGCCTTATAACCTGTATCTCTCACTCTCTGCTCTTTGAATTGAGAAAGCTCCTCGGATGAGGAGCGAAACATCTTCTGTTACAAATAAAGTCCAGTTGTTTTTGTATTGAACGTTTTTTGAATTCATCATGTCCTGGATGACTGAGAATCTTCACCAGCATAACGCATAGAGTAGCAAACCTGTGTTGATGGCAAATCTCACCAATAATTTTGAAATCATAATTTCAATGAATGAATAATTGGACTAATATAGATTTTTCTTTTATGCTTGATTTTAGTGGCACTAAGACCTAAATCCACTAAGTTGATTGATCAATTATTGTCCAATTACCCTGCACTGACTGACCAAAGAGCTCCTGCTGCTTTCTTACAACTAATCCTCTGTCAAATGAAGGCTGTTACTGATAACATTCAGCTTGTGCATCCAATAAAAAGGGTGGTGTTTTTTTACACAATTGATCAACAAACCAAACCTTATATTCAAAAATTACATCTGAGATGGTATTAAAGGTCTGTTTAAAAATTCTATTGTTTTCTAGCAGGAAATCTGCCATCGGCACATGCTCCGCTGAAGAGGATGCTGGCTTACACTGGCTGTTTCAGCTGCATGGCCACCGTCAAGGACATCCACCTCTTTTTGTCTCAGAGGCTCCGGATCAAGGAGGAAGACATGAGGCTTTGGCTCTACAACAGTGAGGTGAGCTGCAACAATGTTCCAACATTCTCCCAGATTTAATGCAGTATTAAAACACAAAAGTTCAATTGTATTTTAACCATCTGTAAACATACCTTAAGCCCAGGGCTTAATTTGAGCCAGATCCGGCTGGAACAGGAACTCCAGGAACTCCAGGAACTCTTATTTTGACATGGTGTGTTCCTGTAACTCTCAGGCTTACTAATAATAAAGTTATGAACAAATTTGACTGTCTTGAGCGAATAAAACCTATATAGTTTATGTAAACTGAAAATAATGACATAAAGACACATTTTAAACACAACAGCCACTTACGAGCTTCCTAATATCACATCAGAGCTGCTCCTTCAAGTACACATTTCTGCTTCTACCCTGAAAAAATCCCCAACCCAAAAGTTCAGTTAAGGGCAATTTAATTAAAAACAAAAATATAATTAAACAGCACAACTAAATTTCAAATCAGTTTTACAGTTTAAGTGGGTCATTAATAAAATTTTGATTATTTATAAAAAATACAAGAGAAATGTTTGATGGATAATCATGTTACATATATCACGTATCAAAACAACGTGCCAATTTATCAAAATAACAGTGATCAAAATGTCGAAAGACAGTCCAATTTACTTTCATTAAAAAAAATTATATTGTTCAACTAAACAACCGAGAACTGAAGCACATAAAGGCAGTGGTAATGGAGATACTGGAGCAGATGTGAATGGTGTGTGTGTGAGTGCCAAGCTTACATTGTTCCAGGGGTTAGGATGCTTAAGAAAAGTGGAGCGTGCTTTATTCACACAAGGAGAGCTGTTGGTCAGACTATTTCTTGTTGCTTTCTAAAATATTTATTGAATCAAGTATTTCATTTATTCATTCAGCCTTTATTTCTACAGGTTAATCCCATTGAGCCTCTGGGACTCATTTACAAGAGAGACCTGATTTTAACAAAGAATGATGACAACAATGGAACAAGGAAAACAATAGATCATCATAAAGGATGCGTACAAATTGAGATTTTTGTTAACAAATGAAAATAAAATTGTAACCAAAAAAACAGCTAGGTTGTAAGGTGATGTAGAAAACTAAAAACAAGAATGTCTGCATTGATTTTTTCTCAGGAACTTAACGGATGTCTAAAGCTACTTAGAGAGGTCAAGGTCAAGAGCTTCAGGTCTTTTTGCAAGATATTCCAGGAAACAGGAGTGGAGTAGGAAAAGGCCCTTTTGACTAGTTCAGTCCACACTGAGGGAACACTGCAGGTAATAATGTCCTGAGAGCACACGTTGTAGCTGCACTCACGCAGAGACATGTAGGAGGAGATGTATGAAGGCAGCAGACCAAGAAGTGATTTAAAGATGAAAATGTACCAGTGGGAGAGTCTGTGTGAAGTTAATGGTGACCAGTTAACCAGTGAATACAGGGTGCAGTGGTGGGTACGGTAGTTACAGCCAGTTATGAATCTTAGTGCACCATAATAGACAGCATCCAACATCTGCAGGGTTCTTGTAGGAGCGTTCATGTAAATAATGTCACTGTAATAAATGGAGGGAAGGATAGTCACAGATACAAGGCGTTTCCTAGCATTCAGAGTTAGACAGGATCTGTTTCTGAAAAAGAAACCCAGTTTAACTTTCAGTTTCCTTACTAGGTTTTCCATGTGAAGCTTAAAAGAGAGATGCAAATTGACCGAGATACCCAAATATTTATAGGAATCAACAAACTCAATAGTGGCACCATTCAAAGATAAAATCAAAGGAAGAACTGCTGGGAGCAACTTCCTTTTGAAAAATGCATCCTTTTGGTTTTCTTTGGCGTTTAGGACAAGTTTGAGGTGGAACAAATCTGGCTGGAGGATGTTGAAAGTGGATTGCAAAAGCTGGAAAACCTTACCGACTGTTTTAGCTCAAAAACAAACAACTTTGTCATTAGCATAGAAATGTTAGGATGTATCAGGGATGCTCTGACCTAAATTACCTATATAGATTGTAAAGAGACTGCGTCCTAAGACTGAGCCTTGTGGTACACCATTGTTGACTGTTAAATAACTGGGGGAAGTATCATTATGTTGAACACATTGCACATATCTGAAAAAGCAATTTCTGAGAGCTTATGACATAAGATGTCATGGTCCAGTGTTGAAAGCTTTAGACAGGTCTAAGTAAAGAGCAGCACAATAATCCTTTGCGTCCAGTGCTTCAACAATGTCATTAAAAAAAAAAGAACAATCCAAAGGCAATAATTCCAGAAAAACACTGAACTCACCAGGGCAAATCCAAGTCTCAGTGATGAAAAAGAAAGTCCAGTCGGTTGCGGCAGGAAAAGTCATTCAAAATAAAAGTTTTATTAGCCAGTGATCTGGCATTGATCAGGGCCATCCTCGTAGAGTCCACCACAGGATTAGATGATTGCAGTGTCCAGTCCAGCGGCCTCAGATTTGCAGAGTTTGACGCATGTCTTGGGCAGGAAACACAGCCGCGCACGGGCCCAGTGTGAGAGTCGAACCCCGACAGCTGGACCAGACAGAGCGCCACAGGATCTACATCGCACCAGGATCGAAGATGGAAATGTTGACCATCAGCTGGAGAGGATGATACAGAGGCAGCAAGAAGGGCTTTAAGTTTCACCAGCCGGCCAGCCTGTTTTCCCTGGCGTCTGGAGCGATGTCTCTGGGGAGGCAGGTGCACAGCGTGCCGCCGGTAAACAGGCATGTCCGCCAGCAGTGTGGGGGGACTTGATCCACAGCTACTCTCATATTGATTAAAATAAGCAATATTGGTGGCAGAAAGTCGAAGATCCAGAAGTTGTTGTCGTTCGTACACCAGCAGAGAGTTGATGTCACAGATGAGAAATGAAAAAAAAAACCCACAAATAATACTAATGTGTTTCTTTGTCTTTCAGATACACCTGGACCTATATCAGGACCTACCATTCTGTGTTCGTCTGTCTCTCCTTCCTGTCCTCTCAACCAGCCGGTCAAAGCAGATGGCCGCTTGTCCTGAGCCTGGTTCTGCTGGAGGTTTCTTCCTGTTAAAAGGGAGTTTTTCCTTTCCACTGTTGCCACTGTGCTTGCTCAGGATGGGAGACTGCAACGAAGCCAAGATTCAACTTGTCTGCTGGATTCTTTAGATAGAGAACTTTACTAATTGGCTTTTATGTATGTGAATGTTTCTGTAAAGTGCCCTGAGACAACTTTGGCGCTATAGAAATAAACTGAATTGAATTGAACTAACAGCTAAGTGAAGTGGCCTGTCTAATGTTGAGGCGTAGATTGTTCTAAAGTTCAGGGCCCACGACTGAATAAGCCTGATCTTCTCTGAGCTTCAACTAAAAACAGCTGATCAGACAATCTCAGAGCCCAAGAAGGAACATCAGGTTGAAGTTGGTCAGAGAGATAAGAGTGTGCAAGGCCAGTACTTCCTAGAACAAAAAGTATTTTAACAACGGCAGTCTGGTTTTTATGTATTTATTATTTTTTTTATAAAAATATATGCTCACCTTAAACATTGTCAACATATTTATACTCCTTACAGCTTAACATAATATCTACTTTCCTTTAAAAATATAAAATCAAGTCAAACTATTTCTGGAGAACATATCACAAACCTCAGTTGTACAAACAATTTCACTAATAATGTTAACTTGTTTTTTTATATATGAATGTTTCTGTTCAGTGCCTTGAGATGACTTCTGTTACAAAATATTGATATATACAAATAAACTGAATTGAATTGAATTTCACTGAATAATGATAATAATAATAATAATAGTAGATCAACAAAGTTCTTTAATGACCCTGTGAAATCACAGAGTAAAAACCTTTTCATTTCTTGTTCAGAACTATCTCACCCTTCTCGATGATGAAGACCACACATTAGAGAGCCTGAAGATCCAGGATGAACAACAGCTAGTTATTGAAGGTTTGACAAGATTTGTATATATTTTTTATACTAATGACATGATATTAAAGTACCTATGTCATCAAATGTGTCTTGCAAATATGAATGCATTTTTGGAACTACAGTAGTCCCTTGTTTATCATGGGAGTTTTGTACCCGTAAGACCCATGACAACTGAAAAACCGCAAAGTAGGAATAGATTTACAAGTAGTAAGTAGTAGTTTACTTTATTTTATATCTTAAGGCATTTTAAACCCTTCCCATACTCTTGCAATAATATTCTAAACAATGTTTCTAAACTCTAAATGCTCTAAAAGAGACAGAATGTCATAATTTCAGCTTCCTTCCTCCTCTGCTCTTTGCCACCTGCAAGTGCTCTTGGCCACGCCCACTTCGCTCTGCACGGTGAACAGCTGATCAGCTGCAGAAGGAAGTGTAGGATTAACTGTCCTCAGATCGTTTAATTTTTATGAGTAATTTTATTTTGAATGGGCACCACTGGCTTCCAGTTCTGAAGCCAGAAATTATTAATTTATTCAATCAGACTCAAGTTTAATGCTCTAGTGATTTATTTTCGTGTTAAAAAAAAAAGTCATATAATAAAAACGCTTTGAGTCAAAGTACAATTTTTGTGAGATTTATTATCAATTTTGGTGAGTATAAGTGATCAAACGCTGAATACAGCTGCAGAATGAAATGATGGCTTTACTTTGAATACAAGAAGAGGTTATGGTGTTGGAAAAACCCCTCCAATGATATCGCTCTTGATTTAAAAGAGCTTGTGATGTTTTTAGACATAAAAGCTGGGTTTGGTCTTAAATCAGCTGAGCTGCCCATCAGCCTGAATTCTAAGACATGACGGCGTGACAGAGAGGGCAGATAAATCACGCACTCTCTTAGCGGATGTTAAAGCCAACAGCAGGGCTGTTTTAAGAGACAAGAATTTAAGTGGAACCTGATCCAGAGGTTCAAATGGAGCTTTGATCAGAGCCTGCAGGACCAGCGTTGAATCCCACTGTGGAACAAGTGGGCGTGAAACAGGCCTGTGTCTCTGTACACCTTTTAGAAAACGTTTCATCAGTGGATGATTAAAACTGTTCTGTCTCCGAACCCTTCGTGACAGGAAGAGATGGCTGCAGCGTACATTTTAATCGTGCTGGACGCCAAATTTCTGTCCATCAGCTGTTGTAGAAAGGACAGCATGCTACCTAGTGGACATGAGGTGGCCTCTACACCCTTCTCTGTACGCCAGCGCTGAAAAGCTGTCCGCTTTGATGTGTACAGCTCTGTGGTAGATGCAGCATGTGAAATCTGAATTGTGCGCACTACATCATGTGGGAGACCCATCCTCTCTAAGCGGATCCGTTCAGTGGCCAGACCACAGGTGCTGGCCTATTTCTGGGTAACTCCTGATAGCTCTTCCTGCCTGGAGGAGAGCGTCCTTTCTCCACGGCAGTTTCCACGGGCGCCCCAACAGCAGGCGTTGCAGGACTTGGAACCATGGTGCGTTCACGCGTTCGGGGGCCACCAGGAGAGCTGTCAATCCCTCCTCCTCAACTCGGTTCAGAAACCGTAAAATCAGAGGAGGTGGAGGAAAACGCGTACAGAAGCATTTTGGGCCATGGGCTGTGGGCAAACGCATCCACCCCCAGCAGTGGTTCGTCTCGCAGGCTCATAGAAAACCATAATTGACACTGAGCATTTTCTCGTGTCGCAAACAGGCCCACGGCTGCTATTTCAGTCTGAGTCAAAATGCTTCGTCAGAGGATGATTAAAGGTTGTTCTGTCTCCGACAACTTTGAGACAAGAAGAAAACATGGCTGCAGCATACGATAATCGTGCTGGACGCCAGATTTCTGTCCATCCACTGCTGCAGAAAAGGACAGCATGTTGTCCAGTGGACATGAAGTGGCCTCTACGCCTTCTCTGTACACCTTTTACAAAACGTTTCATCAGCGGATGATTAAAACTGTTCTGTCTTGAAAATTTCGTGACAAAAAGAGATTGCCGCAGTGAACGTTTTACTTGAGCTGAATGCCAGATCTCTGTCCATCAACTGCTGCAGAAAGGACGGCACACCACCTAGTGAACATGAAATGGCCTCTACACCTTTCTCTGTACAGCAGCGCTGAAAAACTGACCACTTGATGTGAACAATGCTGTGGTGGCTGCAGCACGTGAATCCTGAATCGTACGCACTACATCTTGAGAGAGATCCATCCTCTCAAAAGGACCGCACAATGGCCAGACCACAGGTGCTGGCCTATTCTGATTAACTCCTGATCGCTCCTCCCGCCTGGAGGAGAGCGGCCTCCCTCCACGCCAGGTTCCACGAGCGCCCCGATAACAAGTGTCGTAGGCCTGGGAACCATGATGCGTTCACGCACTTGGGACAGAGGAGCTGTCAGTCCTTCCTCCTGAGCTCAGTTAAAAAAACTGTGATATCAGAGGGAGTGAGGGAGGTGAAGAAGCATTACGACCACATGATGCGAACAAACACGTCCACCCCTAGCGGTGGATCGTCCCGTGGCTCCATGATAATTATAGTTGACATCGAGCGTTCTCTCGTGTTGCAACAGGTCCCCAGTCGCTCGCATGATTTCTGCCGCGTCTGAGTCATAGCTCTGGATGGAAGGTCCCTGGTCCCCGTGCCGCAAAAGACCATCTTTGGACATCACATCCGTCCCCTGTTCAGAACACAGGAGATGTACCCTACTCCAATGGAGAGCAGATTGGGTGTGCCCCACACAACATCTGTCTCCCAATGTGGCACATGGGTTGAGCGCATACATCTCTTGCCAGTTATGTATGCAACAGTCACTTGCTGTCTGTGTGAATCCAAAAACCCTGATGATTCCGCAGCTCAGAGGCAAAGTGTTGAATCACATTCAAAAACCCCGTGCGACACTCCAAAAACATTTAAATGAGCTGCTGTGTGAAGAACCACAGCGCCCCCACAGCTCGTTAAATGTGTGTGCCTCGGTGAAGTTTGACATGTGTGACGTAGGTCTGCTGACGGAAAACAACTGATATCACTCAACTGGTTCACGTGAGTTGCACTGCTGCCACCTGTCTGTAAAAACTGCTCAGCAGCAGCAGATGTCCACATAAGCAGAATTCTCCTCCCTGCTCTGTGCGGCGGCTGCAGAGCGGCTCGGGCACATTAATGGAATGTTGTTTCTCACAGTCCAAAATTAACAAATCTAGAATAAATCTCATCTTTCCTGTTCGTTGGGACCAGGGAGTGACGAGAGAGGAACCCTGCGTTTTCCTCTCCTTCTGAGACTCTGGAAATTACATTTTAATCAGAATTTCCTGAGCTTCTGCGAGAGGGGACGAGATCTGTTCTAGAAATGACAGAAAACGTCACTAGAGTTCCTCCGCACCAGGGTTTGAGCTGTACTGCAGCATGAATCCCCTGATGAAAACGGTTCGCCTATCCGTCTGGAGCGCGTGCTCATTGCCACTCGTTTATAAAGTTATAAAGCGGGCACGCGTTTATGCTGTGAACTCGCATGCTGATGTGAGCTGGTGCGCGTTGAAGGAGAAAGAAAAAACGCGTGCCCCCGAGCATGCAAATCTTTTGTGTGTTTGCTGATGCTGTGGGACACAGCTCATCTGTGTTGTGCTCATGTTGTGTGCCGCTGCTCCGTGTAAACACTCGGAGAGCGGGTGCACATATGAGCCGACGTGCCCTGAAGAGTCGTGTGTGCGCGCCCTCATTCATGCGACGTCTTAAGTGACGATTGCCGCGGGAGCGCGCGTTTGACTCTGGTGCGGTCAGGAATCAGCGCATGGCATCGGTGGGGCGAAGTTACCACTGGGCTCGTTCTGCAGAACACGTTCATTCTTGGCTGCGAATCACGTGAGCTTTTGAGTGATTCCACGAGCTGCAGTATTAATTCAGAAAACCTTCTTCGAGGATGAAGGAGCAGAGCCGCTGTGAGGCTTGTGAAACTGTTAACGCCGCGGGAGCACACGTTTGACACCACTGCGGTGAATACGCGTGTCGCTCCTGCCGAGAGCGAGATACGTTACTGGGTGAGCCAGAATGGAACCTAGAAAAAAACCTTCCCGCCGTATCATTCGAACAGGCGGGAAAGGCGCGGGACGTAAAAAAGGGTCCCTTCATGCCAGCGGCTCCTGGATTACGCCGGGCAACCCCAGAGGGTGCCGTCGGCCGGGAGCGGTGTGATCGCCTATGCGAAACGAGGTGGGATGAGGTGAGCATTCGCTCAGCCCCCCTCCACCGACACTACGCTCTCCAGGAGGGAATGAGCAGCGGGGGGCTGCAGCTGACGTAGCCTGTCCAGGAGGAACCATCCGATTCGCTCCGAGGGTCGGCGATAAGAAGGAAATTACAAGATGGCGTTGTCCAGCGTGTAGCGACCTGTCACTGAGAAATACTCCTTGAAACAAGACTGCTCGTCAGCTTCTCCTCGGGGAGGAGAGCTCACCGGGACGACCGGAGGTCGACGTGACGGGCCAAGCATTCTTAATAAAGGTTCGTCATCTACACAACTTTCCTTCTTCGTTCTTCTGACAGTGCTATTAGCTCGTTGAAGAAAAAATGGGAGCCGATTACTCGCTCTTAACGTAATTTATACGGACCGGGTGTGGCCCACACAGCAGGTGGGCGTGGGCTAAATTTTTCAGTGCAATGCTTCGCATATCGGGATAAACCCATCAACGACAGCCTTAAAGGGCGAAACCTATACGAAATAGAACAGCTGCTCACATGGTCAAGAAGGACCATCAGCCTAACAATGGATCATTAGCACCCTGATGGCTGTTTACTATTCACAGGAGGCTGAGTGATACTAGCAATCACAGCATTGTAAGAGGGGGACAGTTGAACCCGGAGGCCTCCACCCCTGTTTAATGATGGATGATTTCTTTTCACAAAATGGCCTCCTTTACTCCTCTCTCAAACCATCGTTCCTCTCTGTCCAGGATGTGAACATCTTCATCCCTGAAAGAGTGACCGCTGGCCTGGAGATGAGTCTAGACCGCAGAGTCCT